GCAGCGAACAAAGCACCGAACTGAGTTCTCGGGGGCATCTGCGCCTCCGTAAGACACGATGTTACCGTAAGCAGCAATCACGTCGTCGACGTTAGTTGATAGGCTGGCATCGAATCTCTGGCAGTAGTCATCGCGTTACCCAATGGGTAAACGGCTTATCCTTGAAGGACACAACGCCAAAACCTTGAATCAGGATGCTCAGCTAAAAATTCCTTGCGTCAGTAAACTCAGCTGGGTGTTCTTCATCGACTCAATGTTATCGCTGAAAGAGTCGGTAGCATCTTGCAATATTAGGACGTCCAGGGGAAAAGAACAGTCTTCGGAGGTACGTTTATCGAAGTAACCTCTAGGCACCGCAGCCCGATTCATACCCGGGCGCTTCGGCTCCATGTGCTCGACCGGGCCCACCTCCGGCAATTTCTCCCAGATTGCAGGTGGCTCATACGTAGAATTTTGCTGGTCTGCACAGTCCACCTCACAAGAGGCTAAGATTATGGAAATAGTGGTAACAGATCTCATTTGATGTTTTGACAATAGAAAGGACTCCGTGGTGGGAGACATGAAGTCTCGGCGGCCGTATCGGGTTGCCGTGCACTCGCGATGATGAAACCTGGGTGGCTCGCGATTGCCCGAAGAACAGTCTGGAGAACTCCAGAAAGTTGGAAACGCACCGGTGGCCGGGGGGATGGTTGTGCTGCCGCAGGGCCTCGAAATCAATGCCTCGATCGGCGATTTTTAGGGTCCCAAATCGAAGATGCGGGTCACAGTCAGTGGAAGCAGTCGATTGCAGCAGGCACCGCGGGTCACGACGTGGTGTCTGTTGGCAATGCCAGGGGGTGAGCAGAAGTCCGCAGGTCTCTCCCTTTCTTTCCCTCCACAATAGCCTTGATGAATACCGACACTTTGTCCTCCCACACTTTGTCCTCCCACACTTTGTCCTCCCACACTTTGTCCTCCCACACTCTGTCCCCCCACACGCTGTCCTCCAAGGGAAACACGATCGGGAAGTTGCACAAGTGGGAGGTGTTATGTTTAGGGAGCGAGTCGATGGGCAAATGTCTGTTTTCGGAGGAGCAGGAGCTCTACTGGATTGAGCATTACTGGGAGCCGCTACAGCGGGTTCAGTTTGACTCGTTGGGGTCAATAGCTTCGTTAAGACCAAGAGACGTTCGCAGGAGTTGGAAGTGCGGCGCCAAGGGGTTTTTCCGAGCTCTTGGTCGTGCGGGGTGGGCAATGGTGCCGACCGTTGGGTTACCTAGGCCAGTGTACATTCCAACTATAGCGCGGCCGACGAGCTTGGGAAAGAATACTTTAGCGCAGAACGCGGTTGTGGCGGACCAGGAGTATCTTGGTTACCGCGTGATTTGTGAGTCACTGTCGAAACAACAATGGCAGACGTTGAAAACCGTCACAAGCGAGACCTTCACGAAATGTCGATTGGACTATCTAGAGCTTGCAGGCATCATTTCTCTATACTTTGATAAGGCCTACGGTGTGATAGATGTGGATGTAGGGAGCCAGGTGAGCAAGGGAATGGGTTTGTCAAACTCTTCGCTTAAATTCCGTATGTGGGTAATGGGGTGCCTGCTGCAACACTCCGGAGTCACGACGGACCACCTCGTTGACTTTTGCGTCACTCGACTCGGGTTCGTGCCCCGTGGCGGGACAGAGAACCTTGAGTGTCTAAGAATAAGAGGCCCGGAAAGGTACACCATCAGGAAAGGAGAAGATGAGGGCATCACCGCACGAGCTATACTGACTAGTAGACTGGCGGGTCTACCGTCGGTTACGGCGAAGGAATTTGCCTCTATGGACCAGGCAGCATTCAAGAAAAGCTACCCACGCCTTCCCGCGACTCCGGGAGCCTGCGATGCTCCGCCCACGAATGCCTCGCACAACGATCTCCTCCCACGACTTGTCGTTGGGGAGAAGAGCTTGGCTGAGGAGAAGAGCTTGGCTGAGGAAAAGAGCTTGGCTGAGGAAAAGAGCTTGGTTACGCGGGAAGTTGACTGGTTAAGCCGGTACTGGCTGCCTCTCAGGGAAGCGGAGTATCTTCCATTAATCACAGAGGTTGAAATGAGACCGCGAGACAGGCGCAAAAACTGGCGACTAGTGTGCAGAGTGTTCCCCACCACACTAGACGGGTGGACTCTGATTAATGACGCTGGTCGCAGAATACGACCTTTGTATATACCGACTCTTGGTGCCCCGACGGCCCGAGGAAAGCAGTTAGCAAACAAGCCTACGTCAAAAGCAGCAGAGTTTGAGGTGTATCGGAGGATTTTCGCGTCTCTGACTAGGAAGGAATGGCAGAGCTTGCGGAGCGTGGAGACTCAGAATTTCCACCGGTGCTGGCTGGGTTACGTGGAACTCGGCGGTATCATAGCCGGTTACTGCGAATCGCCGTACGGGTTGGTGGACCAACAGGTGACGAGCGCCATATGTTCGGAGCTCGGTGTGCACTGGAGCGTTAGGTTGATCCCCCGCTGGATCACAGGCTGTTTGCTTCAACATGCCGGTGTTTCCGTGGATGTACTGATCGACTTTTGCATAGACGAGCTGAACTATGTACCCGACAGACACCGGCTGGAGTTCCTAATGAACGACTACCCCGAAAAACGGGCCGCTCGCACGCAACCCGAAGGTGATCCCCGACAATACCTTCGACAAAGACTCCGCGATCTGCCCACCCTGTCCACCTCCGAGTTCGTACCCTGGACCTGTGAACTCACCGCACCTAGCGGAAGCAAAAACGTCCCCCCACACCGAGAGCATTCCGCCCGGCCGGCGACCGCACGGCAATCAAACAGCCAATCTGCCAAGGAGTATATCAGGCGGTATGCAGGATCCGGGGACCTGTTATCGTCCATTTACCATGCGCCTCAAGTGAGTTGGATTCCTCGTTTCTGGAAGCCCGTGGAGAAGGAGGAATTTCAAAGGCTGCGGCCTCTTGTGGCCAGGTGCGGTCGAGTCCGACGGAAGCAATGGAAAAAAGTGGCTATCCTGCTACCCGGTAAGGTGGACTTGGGGGATTGGACTATGATTCCGAGCGACGGTAACCCCCGACCGGTATATATCCCGACAATGGCTGCCCTGAACGAGACGGGAGAGAGCTTGGAGCAGCTTTTGTTCTCAGACGAAGCGTTCCAAGATGAAATGGATCGAGACTATGCGGCGTATCGTAAAGTCCATCGGTCTTTGCTGCCGGTACAATGGAAGCAAATGCGTTCAGTAGACTCCGAAGACTTCGAGGCCTGCGGATTGGCCTACGTCGAGCTCGCCTCGATTATTTCCCGGTACTTCCTGCAACCCTACGGCGTGGTGGATCAGAGAATGGCGGACGAAGTTGGCGAGCAATTGGGCTGCAGTGCCCGTTCCATGCGGCACCACAGCTGGATCACAGGCTGTCTACTGCAACGCTCTGGTGCCTCCAAAGATCAGCTCTGCCGCTTCTGCGTCACCGAACTCAAGTACGACCCGCGAGCCTTCGACACGTTTCTGCACTCTGTATCAAAACGCCCCGCTCACGACATCTGTCAAGAGATACAAGACGATCTTGAGGAGCGGGTTCGGCTATTGCAAGAAAAACTTACCACACTACCGACGCTGACGGCCGCCGAATTCAGGTACTTGCACGCCAAAACGACCGTTAAAGAATTGAGACGGAAACCGGTTACAGCACACGGCCAACTGAATGCCGGCCACCCACCGGGCAACAAGGAACCGGGCAACAAGGAACCCAGCAACAAGGAACCGAGCAACAAGGAACCGATGGAAACGAGCGCCATGGAAGGAAGTGCTACCGCCGACGGTTACCCTGCGGGTTTTCTTATTGGTTCCAGTGCGTCTCGAAAACGGACACACAGAGAGGCGAAGGTCACAGGACGGCGTGTTGCGGGGACGGGCGGTGCGAGCGATGAGCCTAAGAAGGCGTGCTTGGACGAACAGTTCGACATTACGAAACATACCGAACCGGAGGACCTAGGTATGGAAGACCTAAGTATGGACGGCCTGGGTATGGAGGACCTAAGTATGGAAGACCTAAGTATGGAAGACCTAGGCCTGGACGACTCGGACATGGGCGTTGAGAATATCGACTTCGAGGACGCGGTCAAGCAAATGTGGGTGAAGCACTCGCGAGTGCTGTCCGAATGCTTGGACCAGCTGACCCGGACCAGTTGACCCGGACCAGTTGAGTTGACCGAGTGACACGGATTGGCGGGTGGTTCGGTTCGGGCCGATGGTTTTTTTGGCACATTTTCTGACCAGCGTGTGCCAGAGAAAGTGCACGAAAGCTGTCTGAGAGCAAGTGTTCGCCGCACAAGGTTTTTTTCCTGGTTGATAATGGTGGGGGTGGTGGTCGTACCGGTTGCGCGGAGACGTCCGTTGTCATGGATCTCCTGCTGGGTGTTGGCCATGCACCCTGGTGCGCTGCACAGTTCTGCTGAAATTACGCCTCCTGAGTCTTCCGCACGGTCAACGACCGAATGGTGGCGGTCGCCTTTAACTGACCCGTCTAGCAGCGAGGAAGCAGACCCACGTAATAACTGCCCGTGTTACGGTGAAGCTTCTTGGTTGAGTCGGTACTGGCTTCCTCTGGAGGAGGCAGACTTTGAGCGATTGAAGCCAGTTATCTCATTACGGCCCAAAGACCGTCGCGTGCAGTGGAAGAAGGTGGGGAAGAAATTCGGGGCTCGGAGCGGCGGGCTGGATGTGCGACAATGGTCTCTTGTCAGAGCTGACTTAAGACCCGTGTACATTCCCGTACTGAGTGACATGACTAAGCTTGGCAAACGCGGGTTGCTAACCGCGGGTAACGTGATGGCGGAAAACCGGCGGCAATTTGCGGCCTATCGCATGATCCACGGGTCTTTGGATGTGCAACAGTGGGCACGGCTGCGGTCCGTAGATGAAAGCACTTTCGAACAGTGTGGTCTAGCTTACGTGGAGCTTGCGGGAATAATTTCGCTGTACTTCCAAGCGCCGTACGGGCTGGTGGACCAGTACGTCACGAACCAGGTGGCAGCTGAGATAGTGACCACTAACTGCGGTCCGCAACTCCGCAACTGGATTACGGGCTGTCTGTTACAACACTCGGGAGTTCCCGTCGCACGTCTGGAAGACTTTTGTCTGACTCAGCTTCACTACAATCCACCTTGGAATGCGAAACGGCCGAAGGCGCTGGAGTGTCTCCGGTCGCTGTCGGTGAGCGCCAAAGAGGTCTTGAACAGGGGCCAGAAAAGTATCGAAGATCGGCGCCAGCTGCTCAGACAGAGACTCGCGGGCTTGCCGACAGTGACGGCGGCAGAATTCGGACGCCTCACGCAAAGGAAGCTGGACGCCATACTAAATCCCAAAGCCGAGCCAGAGCTGGAGCAGTTAGAGGGGACGCAGTGTGACGTAGCGCAGCCCGACGTGGCACAGCTCGACGTGGCCCAGCCCGACGTGGCCCAGCCCGACGTGGCCCAGCCCGACGTGGCACAGCCCGACGTGGCCCAGCCCGACGTGGCCCAGCCCGACGTGGCACAGCCCGACGTGGCCCAGCGTGGAGGGGCACAGCGTGGAGGGGCACAGCGTGGAGGGGTACAGTTGGAGACGACGACGAAGCCGGGCCGGGGGAAGCGCAGCTCGATGAAGGTTAGTGAATGGGCGGCTGAGTATTGGGCGCCGTTGGAACGGGAGGGTTATGACGCGTTGCGGGCGTGCTGGCAGGGACCCGTGCACCGGCGAAAGCGTTGGCGCGACTGCGGTTCGTTGGTCCCGGCCGAGAGCGAGACACGCGAGTGGACGAAGGTGATCGGGAACGGCAGGTCACGGCCGCTGTACATTCCGACGCTGACTGCGATGACGCGACTAAGACAGCAGACTCCTGAGATGTGTGGTAAAGGCGACCAGACGTGGGGCGTTCAGACGTCAGTAGAGTGTATGTCAGATATGGAAGGTGACTATGCCGCGTATCGGTTGGTGATGGATTCACTGAGTGAGGCACAGTGGAAGAAGTTACGGGGCGTAGAGATGGCGGACTTTGGGCGTTGTAACCTGGCGTTTGTGGAATTGGGGACGATTGTGGCATCCTTTTTCGAAGAGCCGTACGGGCTGGTGGATCAGTGGGCGACGAACAGCGTGGCACAGGAGCTGAACGACGGACGAAAATCGCCGAAAATCCGGCGGTGGATACTAGGGTGTTTGCTACAACGCGCAGAAGCCTCGATCGACAGTCTCGCAGAATTATGTGTCTACAAGCTCGACTACAAAGCCGGCCTAAAAAACTCTCGGCGTCTAGAGTGCCTCGCCAAACGCTGGCTCACTGCCCACGAGCACAACCTTCGCAAAAAAATCGACGCCCACAAACGCCTTGCGTTATTAAAATTCAAGCTCAGAAACTTACCTACTGTGTCCATCGCCGAGTACGGCGCCCTTGACCAAGGCAAATTCGAGTTAAAGTGGGCGCCGACATCACAGCTGCAGCAACTCAATCTAATTATGGCACTGGATAGCTGGCCCATCTCCAACGTCGAACTCACTCAATGGCCCACCGCTTCGACTACAGAAGATGCGCCCAACGGCCCTCTACCTTGCGACTCCTTAGAACCACGGTCAAAGAAAACTAAGTTGACACTCCGCACCGAGGAGCACACCCCGGACGAGAACCACACAGCAGAGAACGTCCCGGCGAACAACGCATCGGCGGCTTGTGATCCAGGGTGTAATCTGGCTTGGAACCAGTCGGGTCAAACTCGGGTGCAGTCCATGCCCCGCCAGTGCATAGCGGGCCGGTCGATGCTGGGCCAGCCGATGCTGGGCCAGTCCATGCCCGGTCATTCGATGCCCGGTCAGTCGATGCGCGGTCAGTCGATGCGCGGTCAGTCGATGCGCGGTCAGTCGATGCCGGGCCAGTCGATGTCCGGTCAGTTGATGTCCGGTCAGTCGATGCCTTGCCAGCTGATGACCTGCCAGCCGATGCCGGGTCAGTCTTGGGGGCCATCTAGTGGTCCAGCGGTTTCCATGGAAGTTGATTTCGAGACGCTGCGGCCTCACGGCTGGAGAGATGGTCCCAACAAAAGATCCGTTGAGCCGCCCCAACGGCAACTTAACAATTTGTTTGCATCGATGGAGGTCAATCGTATCGATCGTAACGTGCCGGGAGCTGTATTGGCCGGCAGACATTGCGAGCCGCCGACCTGGCAGACCGATCCACCAGCCTGATCATTTTTTGGCATAAAGTTGTCCGAATGCGGGTGGTGCTTAGCGGACGACGCCGGGTGGGTCTCGCGTGTTGTGTGTTGTCTGTCAATCCTAGTGAGCTAAGTAGTGTGCGGTTGGCGGAAGGTGGTGGAGAGGTCGAGACGTTGTGGGCGCCGGCGAAGAGGGAGGGGCTGACTCGTTATTGGGTGCCGCCGGATCGGCCCGCGTACGAGGTCCTGCAGCCGGTCGTGGGTAGACCGAGCTGCGGGCCTGAGGGGTGGACGACGGTCGAGGGGCGGCCGCTGTACGTGCAGTTCCCGGAACCTGCTGGAGAGTTGTCGTCTGTGCGGGCGGGTATGGGCAAGTGTGTGGCTGTAGACAAGTGTGGGGCCATAGACGAGAGAGAGGTCCAATGGCTGAGTCGTTACTGGGAGCCGCTGGAGCGGACGACATACGAGGCATTGCGTCCGGTGGCAAGATTTTCTCGGGGGTATCTTTCCGACCGCGGGAGGGCGGTGGCTGCGGCGCTAGGCCCCCAGACGCCGCCTGAGTGGACGATCGTCGCTGAGTTGCCGTTGTACGTGCCCGGTCTCGGCGTGCTGACCCCGGTGGGACAACACGTAATGCCGTTAGGGGTCGTACGGGACCGGAAGACCGATACGGGGCACCAGGAGACCGATATGGGGGACCCGGAGACCGATATGGGGGACCAGGAGACCGATATGGGGGACCAGGAAACCAAGATGGGGGACCAGGAGACCGATATGGGGGACCAGGAGACCGATATGGGGGACCAGGAAACCAAGATGGGGGACCAGGAGACCAAGATGGGGGACCAGGAGACCAAGATGGGGGAGCAGATGAGGAGGGACTATGAAGTGTACCGCGTGGTTCACAGCTCGTTGTCCCGCGAGCAGTGGGCCAGACTGCGGACTGTCACTCCGGCGTCCTTCTTGAGGTGTCAGCTCGCCTACGTAGAACTTGCTGCTATGATTTCCTACTTCGTCGATACACCTTACGGGGCTTTAAACATGCCGGTTCGCGACGTGCTCATGCACCAGATGGGTATACGCGAAGCTGCGCCCAAATTTCGATATTGGATCACGGGCTGCCTTCTACAACATTCGGGTGTCAAAATTGAAAGCCTTGTTGATCTTTGTGTTCACCAGCTTGGATACAACCCCTTATGCGACGCAGAGGGAAAGAAAATTCTTCAGTGTCTGAAGCGCACGCCCAGCTACAACGAGTATACCCGAAGGGCAAAGAAGGACGCCGCAAGATGCAAGAAAATAATAGTGAAAAGACTCGCGGGCTTGCCGACTGTGTCGGCAGCGACATTCGGGGCCATGACCCAGAGAAGCTTCAGCCAAAGTACTACTCTGAAAAGATCTCAAGATACGAGGAATCCGGATTCCTGTTCGAATCTGTTTCAACCACAGCCGCCCTGGGGTAAGTGGATGTCCTCAGAGGAGCGTACCTTCCCTTGGGCCGCTCAGTATTGGAGGGCACTGGAAAAAACGGAGTACGACTCGCTGAGGGGTGCGGTGTCGGCGATCCCTATGGAGCGCCGGCGCCGCTGGAGGGCAGTTGGTCACCTCCTGCCGCAACAGTTTGAGTGTGACGAATGGACAATGACCGTAAACGATGGACAGCCTAGACCACTGTATATCCCCACCCTCGCCTCTTCGCGTATGCGGAATATGGACTCCAACTCGGTCGCGGACGCGGACTCGAACCGGGATTTTGCAGCTTATCGAGTAATTCAAGATTCCTTGACCGAAGGCCAGTGGAAGAGCTTGAGAACCATCAATGCCGCCGGCTTCGCGACCTGTAATCTGGCTTTCGTGGAACTTGCCGCAATCATTTCTTTCTTCGTCGAAATGCCCTACGGTCTACTTGACCTGAGCTACGCCCGCGAACTAAATGCGATGCTGAATGCCAGCTGTTCCGCAAACAAATTTCGTTGGTGGGTTACGGGCTGTCTTCTGCAGCATTGTGGCGTCTCCATCGGCCGTCTAATCGACCTTTGTATCACCCAGCTCGGGTTCAAACCCCCGATGAAATATCCTCTCAGGCTAGAATGTTTGGCCAAGTATACATTAAAAGCAAGACGGTACGTCAGCAGGCGAGATACGGACGTCAACGAACGTAGAAAAAATTTAGAGCAAAAACTCCTAGGGCTCCCGATCGTCACAGCGGAGGAGTTTAGCGGCTTGGACCACGAGTCGCTGCAGAAAACAGTGCAACGACATGTCCCCGACGTCCCAGAGAGCAGGTCGTCCAGACGCAAACGAACGAAGCCCAAGGGCCCGGACTACGGGTCCCCGGACTACGGGTCCCCGAACTGCGAGTCCCCGGACTGCAGGCCTCCACCGACCAAGCAGGCTGCTACCGGGGCCGATGTGGGCAGTTGCTTGGCAGCTGACCAGTTCAAGCATGCCGGGAGCCAGTTCGGGAATGCCGGGGGCCAGTTCGGGAATGCCGGGGGCCAGTTCGGGCAAGCCAGGGGCGAGTTCGGGAATGCCGGGGGCCAGTTCGGGAATGCCAGGGGCCAGTTCGGGCAGACTAAGCACCTGAATGTTCGACTGTCTCAATTAATAACGGACCTGTCTAAACGGACATCACTACCACTCCTTCCGCAGCCGGGGTTGCAGCGGTCGTGAGCATTTTTTGGTTCAATTCAATTTGCAAAGTGCGCATGCGGACGGCGATTAGTGGACGGTGTCCGCTAAGGCGGACATTGAGTGTGTTGGCTATCCATTCCTATGAGGTGGATGATGTGCAGTTATTGGGGGGGGTTGAGGCGTTGCGGGGAGAGACGAAGGCGGAGACGGAGGAAGTCCGGTGGCTGAGTCGTTACTGGGAGCTGATTGAGCCGGAAGTGTATGAGGGGCTACGCCCAGTGTATCAGGCTTCTTTGAGGAAACGGCGCTGTAAGGTGGTGACAGAATTATTGGGTCATGAGGCGGCGGAGTGGACGACTTTCGGTGGACGAGTTGTGTACGTGCCTACTCTCTGTGAGCTGACCACGGTAGCACGGCGCTTGGAGCGGGACCAGGTGAGTAACTGGAAGAGAGACTGGGAGGCGAGTAGTGACTATGCGGTCTACGGCCTGGTTTACAGCTCGCTGACTCCAAAGCAATGGGAAAGAATGCGGAAGGTAACTATTGCGTCCTTCGCAAACTGTAACTTGGCCTACGTAGAACTTGCATCGATGATTTCCAACTTCGTCCAGATGCCTTACGGAACTGTGGACGCGCCTATTCGGCGCCTGATTATGAACCAGATGGGCATCGGCGCATCCGTATGCAAATTCCGCTTCTGGACCACTGGCTGCCTTCTGCAATATTCGGGAACCACAATTGAAAGCCTTATCGACTTTTGCACCACAGAGTTAGGCTACAACCCCGTAAGCGACTCCGAGGGTCAACGAAATCTTCAGTGTCTGAAGATGCCACAGGGCTACAACGAGTACAGCAGAAGGGGCAAGAAAGACGCCGCAAGACGTAAGGAGATACTACTGCGAAAACTTGACAAGCTGCCCACAGTGTCTGTTTCTGAATTCGGGACCATGACCCGGAGTAGCTTGAACGAAAGATTGAACGCCTCTCCGAATACGTTCTCGGGCAACACTTTTTCAGACAACAACGCTTCTCAGGATACAACCAATCAGGATACAACGAATCAGGATACAACGAATCAGGATACAACGAATCAGGATGCAAGTCTGCGAGTGCTTCAACCACAGGAGGCTTGGGGTAAGTGGAGGTCCCTGGAGAAGCGTACCTTCCCTTGGGCGGCTCAGTATTGGAAAACGTTGGAGAAGATGGAGTACAAGGCGCTGAGAGGTGGAGTGTCGACCCTCCCTATGGTGAGGAGGCGTTCCTGGAAGAAAGTTGGCCACTTGCTTCCAAAGCAATTCCCGTGTGACGAGTGGACCATGGTCGTAAATGATGGAGAGCCTAGACCGCTGTATATCCCGACGCTCGCCATCTCGGGTATGCGGAAGATGGACTGTAACGCAGTCTCCAACACGGATTCAAGCACTGGCTCGAACACGGACTGGAACCGGGATTTTGCAGCTTATCGCACAATTCACGGCTCCTTGACCGAAGATCAGTGGAAAAGGTTGAGAACTGTGAACGTCGAGAATTTCTCAAGCTGCAATCTGGCTTTCGTTGGACTTGCCGCAATAATTTCTTCCTTCGTGGATGCGCCTTACGGTCTCCTTGATATTCAAGTCGCAAGGAAATTGGGAGAGAAACTGAAGGCAAGTTATTCCTCTAATAGACTTCGAAGGTGGATGACGGGATGCCTTCTTGAGCATTGCGGTGTATCTACTGACAGTTTAGCCGATTTTTGTGTTACTCAGCTAGGGTTCAAGCCCCCAGTTCGATATCCTACTAGGGCAGAACGTTTTGCCAAGTGTCTGTGCCAAGCCAGGACGTACACCGACAACCCAGACAGGGATGCATGCCGAACAAGATTAAAACGTAAACTGCGGGGACTCCCCACCGTCACGGCGGAGGAATTCAGCAGGTTGGACAAAAAAACTTGCAGGGAAAAACTGGCACAGAGTCGTCTCACCTCCGTCGCTCCAGAAGCTAAGGAGCCCCGGAAGACTGCCGGACACAAACGAAGGATGACAGACCCGAACTGTGGGTCTTCAGACTACACGCCCCCACCCAGCAAGCGGAACGCCGAGGCGAGCAAGCAGAACGCTGAGGCCAACTGCGACAGTAGCTGCTTGCTAACCGGTCAGTTGGAGCAGGCGAGGGGTCAGTTCGAGCAGGCTGATAATGATCGACTGTCTCGGTTGATCATGGACCTGTCCAAACGAATGTCATTGTCGAAACCGCCACGAGAGTGACCCGCTGCGAGAATGGCCATTTTTTTCTGACTCACTGGGTGTCGTCCTGGGTGTCGTCGCGACCCCCCCCCCCCCCCC